CTCTATGGTCAAGCTGTGGAGATCAAAAGATTATAATTTTCACAACAAATCACATTGAGAAGCTCGACCCTGCATTGTTGAGGCCAGGTCGTATGGACATGCACATGGCATATTGTACTCCTTGTGGATTCAAGCTTCTTGCTGCTAATTATCTTGGTATTAAAGAACATAAACTGTTTGAAGAAATTGAGGAGTTGATCGGAAAGACGGCGTTGACACCGGCAGAGGTGGCTGAACAGCTGATGAAGGAAGATGAAGTTGATGTTTGACTTAATGGCTTGACTGAATTTCTTAACGGCAAGATGAAAGAACAAGAAGAGGCTAAGGCTAAGGTGGATGACAAGGAGGAAAAGGGTTGAAAGGTTATGGATCAACATTTTAGTTAGTGCAGATAGGGGGTATAAATTCTGAGATATTTTTTTTTCTATTTTCTATAATAATTTCATAGAAGTCTAGCATGTTGGTTAAAGAAAGCATATATTTCTGTCCTGGATAAGTCTTAATCAAAGTCAATTACATATTCTTTTCATCTCAGATTAACTAGTTTTGATTTGATTGCTAGTTTATCTCCTCTTGAGGTGAGGAAACAAAAGATGAATAACTAACTAGGTAGAACATTACTCCAACAAACAAAAGAGGCAACACCAATAAATATGACACTGAGAAACCAAAGTTCTATAGCCTGTTTATTCCACTCTAAGCATTGCCACCAACAAATGCCTTGGTGATCTCTCTCACACTGATTACAAAAGCAGAATATATACATGGGATGTGGGGAGATACAGAAGAACAGTTTTTTACACATCGAAAGCATCTACTAATATACCCTTTCAGACCTCGACGCTTATTCTCTGAGTAACCTGCAGAAGAAAAATACCAGGTCATGCAAGTTTAGGTGAAAGATCAGGGCTAGTCAAAGTTAAAAATTTGCTGCAACTAGTAACAAAAAGTATTCTAGTGAATCAGGACCGATGCATTTGGTTGTACTAAGATAAGTTAGAGAACATGAGAAAGACGACAAGGCATGCCAACTTCCAATCTAATCACATATTTTCCCTTGAGAGAGAGAGATCAAAATAATCCAATAGAACGCATAATCTACAGATGCCATTGGAACTTCTTGCCGGTTATAAATGTATTTGCAAGCCATTATATGCAATAATTGTAAATCAATCTCATGCAAACAGATCTATTTTCACCCTTTTGTTACGTGACTTAACCCTAACGAAAGCAAGTTATTATGACAAAAATATNTAAAAATATTGTTGGATTAGGCTTCTCTGCTTCTACCTTTTAAAAGCTAAAAGGAAAATCAGCTGTTGGATCAGAAAGGGAGAAAAGGAAAGATAAAACACATTATCTCAGCTGACACTGCTAAAGCATCAAACAAATGATCACAGTTCAAAGCCCTCAATACAGGTCTCAAACAGGTGACAAATTTGACGCTATAGCCAACTTTACTCCTGCCGTTCTAAGGGCCTGGAATACCCTAAACCTATCGAAGAATAAAGGATGGGAGTAAATTTAAGTGTGTCAACGGGAAGAAAAACCAATTTGCTATCGACTGAAATAGTTCAGCATCTCAAACTGAGCCGACCTGTTCAGTAGTATAACAATTATACAACCCCGCAAAGTACTGAGAATCAGAACAGCCGGTTGAAGAACTAACTATATGTTATTGCCAAAATGGCCTTCCATCGTTATCTGCAACATGCAACTCATCTCATTAATAATTCATGTCTTTGCTATTGCAGACGAGAAATTTGCTCAAATATCAAATATGATCTAAAGGTCATCATCTAATTACAAAAATAACTTGCGTGATCTCAAACTATTTAGATATCAAAATCCGGTCATCAAGTTTTAAAAAATTATGATATGGTGATGTGCATAGAAGCATTTGGCTACCAATGTGATGTCAAGCAAATGCATTTGATCAATGAATGAGAGCAAGAATATGTTTGAAGGGCATAGTTCTCCAGAAGTTCAAGAGGATACAAGTTTAACCAAAACACTTGTTTTAATTAACCAAGACACATTTTTGGGCTTTTAAGAATTACCAAAAAATTGCATTCACAATTGTATTCAAGTTTGTTAAGCTATAAAATTGGGCTCACAAGCACGTTTCAGGAAGCACAAAGGTCTAAGAGCAAGCCATTCAAACTGTCACTGAAACTAGAATCTTATCAACAAGATAAAGACAATGATCAAAACAAAAGAAAGGAAAAAGAAAAGTTAATCCCTTTTCTCCAAACACGCGTATATTAAGCCAAGGAGAGTATCTCTTATTCTCAAGCCAGCCGACTTTTTTTTATTCTTTTTGTACATAAATTTTGTTTCAATCTCCTCTGCCGCTATAACTCTTAACTTTTTTTTTTTGAAAAAGGTAACAAAATAACTCTTAACTTAGTTTTTAACGATTATCCATTTCAAAGCAGAAAATATGGAAAAGAGAAATGAAGAGCAGCATTCCCCTTGTATCATACTTTAAGTTACTATGGCTTAAAAACCACTCGGCTTACTTGGTAAACAGTAAAATCCAATGGCATATTACCAGCAAATATAGCATGTCTTCAGCGGGAGAAACATAATTTTTCAGAAAAAGAATTCAACAAAAGAGCATACTGCAGTAAACAATAATGAATTTAAGTAGGCCATGATTAGCAGCGATTGATGCTGTTATTTTCAAAGATTAAAGAACGAAAAGTATTTTCGCCATGAAAACAAGTTACTACAGATATAAGTTAAAACCAAAACCAGATACCTGAGCCTAGATCTAACCCGAGGCTGTTCATAAGCCCATCTGTATCTTCTCAATATCTCAGCTTAAGAATAGTCCACGCCATACTTCTCACCACCAATTTGCCTGTAAATCTAAAATATCCAAGAGGTTAAATTATTATGAATAAGACCAAACTGCACATGATGGGACAAGCAGAATACAGAGAGAGAAGTCCATAAAACCAACTTCGATAATAATAAAAAGACAACATGTAAGAGAAAAAAGAGATTAGAAACTGAGGCAGAAAGACAATGAGATAGTAGTATCTCTGCCTGCCCATAAGAAAAGAGTCAAGATAATGTACAACATATATATATGTGCACGCACACATATATACACACACAGAGGAGCACCGAAAGATCTAAAAATAAACCAAATAATTCAAACACAACGCCTGGGAATGAGACATAGAGTGTGTGTAAGCTGTAAACGGTGAATCCACAAAAATTATTGATATGATAAATTTTCATGGTGAAAGAAGGAACATCAGAGATACTACAAGCCGAAAGAAAAATAGTTACTTGCTCTTGTGATTTTTCAATCTTCAGAATTAGATCCAGAAAAATTCATTTTCTTCGGAAAAAATTTCATAATAAATGAATATAATTCACCCTTAACCAGAGGTGTCGTGTTCGAGCATTGGTTACGGGAGCGAATCCGAACTAGTCGGGCTCCAAATTGGATACCAGATACCGAGTGGGAATAAAAAACAATATAGCATATACTACAAGCAGAAGAAAAATGGGTATTACTATTTGTAGTTTTTCAAATTTCATCATTAGCAGATCCAGAAAAATTATTACTAACAAATTTTTCATCAGAGCGAGAACAACTAGAGATGCTAAAATTAGAAAGATAAATTACTCACTTTACACCAAAGCATTTGATTTGTAGTTCTCTAAAGAAAAAAATACCTCATAACACAAACACTGCAAACACTCAGGGGTTGGCCTGGTGGCAATTGACTTGAGCCTTGGGGTTTGCTCCCTTTCAAGGTCTCAAGTTCGAAACCCACTGGGTGCAAACAATTTCTGAGGGCCATCGGACTGGGTAAAACCTGAATTAACCGTGGTGCACTTGCGGGAAACTCCTTGCCGAGGGCCTGTGCACCCCCAGGAATAGTCGGGTCTCGAAGAGACTCGGACACCCGGTGCAAATCAAAAAAAAAAAAAAACACTGCAAAAAGTACTAAACTGTGGACACAAACTAGGTGAAGAAAAAAAACAAAAAGGTAAAGTCAGGAAACTGAATATTGGTTCTACAATAGTGCAGTAAATATAGCTGCAGAAAATGCATAACTTAAACAGATGATCAAGAAATTCAAAAAAAGGCTAAAATTATTCAATAAATCTAAGCATTGCATGCATTTTTAAATTTTCAAAAATAATACTCCATGAACAAACCTGAGCCATGGGCTCAGAGGGAATAACGAGTGTACCCACAGCGTCAACAAGAAGAGCTTTATGTGTAAGCCCACCACACAAAGCCCTATGTAATCTTCATACTCTTTCACTAGCCCAAATCGCCTCGAACATACCAGCTAACGCACCGAATCCTTCAGAACTTCAAAGTCAAGCATGCTTGGGCGCGAATAGTACTTAGACGGGTGACCTCTTGGGAGTCCTAGTGTTGCATCCTCCATTTACCGAAACTCTACTTGTTTTGTTTATTCAAATTTCTCATTTATTTATTAACGGCTGATTATTTTGTTTTGATCGCTCTGATTCGTAGTTCTACCGAAAAGAGATAAACTTGAGAACCCTAGTTAAATGATATCAAACTTGTCAGAAGAAGATTTAAGAGAAGCCAAAGGAGTCTATCTACAAACTTCAAATTCATCGTTAGGCACTGGAATGGTTTCTTTTGAGAGGGGTGATGATTTTGGCACTTCGAGGCTTCTTGAGTGGAAACAAAACTTCCCCTTCCAGGTTTCCTCTGCCGACCAAAGTTCTAGTTTCACCATATTGAATATTTTGGACAACAGCTCCTTGCAGAAATGCAGGGTAAGGCTGCATACAATAGACCTTGTGTCCGGCCCTTCCTCGGACACCGCGCATAGCGGGAGCTTAGTGCACCGGGCTGCTCTTTTTTTAAATGACACTGCTAAAAAATGTTACCTTGAGAAAAAACAAACAAGTTTATGCCGGTCAAGATTGTTGAATAAACTTCTCTTATTCTCTATAGGTAACTGTTGAACTAACACTTTACTAGGCTACTGAATTCTTATAGTTTACCTAGATTTATGTCCAAACAGGAAGGAACTAAGTCTCTTCAAACTGTTTGAAATTCCATTGTTTGATTACATGCAAATGCAAAACAAGTCAGCAAAGCATCATAACAACGACATTTTGACTGCAGTTACAGAAAGAAGAAAGAAGAAAAGAATCTTTCCAAGATTAAAGATGGACCCTGTCAGTCCATTCAGAAGATCTTCTCATGATGAACAGAATAAGCTACATGATTGGTCTATGCCTCTATGTTGATATATTAGATCAATGATCAGTACAAAACAAGTGCATCCTTTGATAGTTCCTTCATGGAAAATAACCAGCAACCCAATGCAAAATTACGGGGGAAGGATAGATCAATCCTTTGCTTCCGTTGCTGCACAAGAACCACATGGGACAAAATCGCATGGACTGAAATGCTTAGGGAATGCCATCAACCTTGTTGAAACACTACTTAATCTTTTACATCCATACAATAAGAGGCTAAAAAGGATTACGATTTGTCAGATTAGAGCTGCTACAGTTATAAGTAGACCACAAATCTTTACAGCAGCCTCAAATATACGATTGAAGATCTTCACCAATATAACTAAACCAGAAACGGGACCAGCAGCCAAGCTACATTTATAATTGCCTTCGCCGACAAAGCCTAAAATCTGAAGATTAAAAAGGGAAATAGAAGTTCAGTACAGAAATGAAGCTCATCTCTGCATTGTTATGTTACATCTCGCTACTACCGCCTTAGCTCAAATCTTTCTATCAGGAATGTCGACCAGATATGGCACGGAACTTTTCAAGGTGGTATATCATAATTGTATTCTTCACTAATCTTCATCAGACATCTCAAATACTAGACTCCGAATAAGAGAAGCAGATTTGGGCAGCAGTCTCCTACAGCGAACACTAGAGTGACTTTTTGAGGCAGAAATAATACGACTTCCAATTTCTATCCTTTTAGACTTATTTATTGAGGCTCTGCTAACGCTTGCATTTGGAAGTGGAGAATCTGAAATTTGCGGAGGTGTTTTAGCTGGAAAAGAAGACAGCAAAGCAAGTTCTACATTAAGATCGCGAAGATATGTTCCAGTCCTAGTCTGTTCCCCTTGTAGAGTACAAGCTCCTTCATGAGAATATCTTAAGCTTGAATTCACCTCATCATGACTTGAGAAATATTTTCGGATAATGCCCGAAACTGAAACTGTTTCTGATAAGTCTTCACAATGGGACTCTGTTGCTGGACAAAAACTCTGTTCCGTATCTCCCCTACCTTCACAACAATATGTGGGAAGAGCAAAGCTTGCCTTGGAAACAACTACATGCTCATCAGGTCCTTCTAGGCAGTTAAATTTGTACCTTTTCCTAGCTTTGTTCCGTTTCTTCTTCTTCATCTTTGTCAAATGAGCTATTCTTAAAACATCTAATAATGCACTTTTAAGGCAGGCAAATCTTTTCATCTTCTTCATTTTTCTTCTGCATTTTAACTTTTCAAATTTTGTGCCTGTCATAGAAGTTCTAATTTTTGTGTGACCAGAAATAGTGCTAATAACATCATCATGCTGATCCAAAATTTGGTCATCGACATATTCAGATGAACCCAACTGATATAAAATGCCATATTGGCAAACTTCGACATGTAGTGACCTAATTCCCTTTAGATGCTGGAAAACATGCTTTAGAGGCAAAGTTTCAGGAAGGCGGTAAAAGCATGAGTTCCTCTTGACCTGCCGAAAAGCTACAGTCTGATGAATCATTTAATTTGAGAAAACAAATTATGAGCAATGAGACAGTATAGGATAGTTGAAGAGTTTAAAAGAGCTTAGAAGCATACCATCACAGCATCCGCCTTGATCTGCCCCAGTTGTGGGAAACAATTCAAGTGAGCCCTTTCAAGTTCTCCTACAAATAGCAGTAAGACTTGTTCCAAAATCACACGTTGTTAATTACGAAAAATTCAATGAACATTTTCACTTTTTGCTTTTAAAATGAGATGCAGCTGATGCCATCAGTATTCCTAGACAACGAAAACTTTACATCTAGACAACGAAAACTTTCACAACTTAGAAATCTCTTTGTCAACTATATTCTTGGTTTGCTAAAGGGGTCCTTGGGCAAAATAAATCTTGATACTCTCGAATCTGGACATCTTGTTAAGCAGTTAAGGTAAATTCAACATTTTTTATTTAAAATGAAAAAACAAAAGCATCTATTATTGAAGGGTACCATAGCATCTTTCATCATTATAAATACATCAAATCTCTTCCTTTTTTATGAGGCAGTATTCTGGCCAATTTGTATGCACCCCGACTATTTTACCAGGCACCTCATACCTCCCAGCACAAGTATTGGTAACTCAACCCACATAGACTCATGCAAATGGGAAAAAATCACCAAATGTGTTTTTGCCTTAAGAGGGATGAATAGTACTCCACTGTAGAAGCAACGAAAGAAACTAATTCAAGAAAAAGGAAAAATTGAAGATTTGATCGTGAAATCTATAGCATTAACTGAGGAAAACAAAAGGGAGTACCAAAAACTCACTCTTGAAGCCATTAGCAGTAGTGTGGGGAGAAACAGCCACAACAATGCGAGTGCCCAGATTGGTGTCAGCAAAAAACGGGATTTCCACACTTGGACAAGCCATTCGTAATAGCCACTCATCAGTTCAAACTTCCGACCTCTCCACTTCAAAAAAAAATAAGGTTGCTAATACAGAAGACAGAAACTCTCTACTTTTCTCGAGGAATACGAGAAAGGGAAAGTGAAAGTGGTGGGCCCTCCTTTCTCTTTCTTCTATTCGGATTGCAGAAGAATGAAAACCCCTTGTGTGTGTTAAAAGAAATACCGGAACACAACTAAAACTCTAAATTAACCTATATTTATCGATCTATATTATATTAAGGGAAAAAGGTTGACTCCTATAATAACCTATTAGAAACAGCTTAAAAATATCCTCCTTTTACCTATTGAATCGGGAAAAAAATCCATAACTCAAAAATAAATGTTTAGTTCCTACTCCTTTTGATTGTTATAACAATATACTTTTTATATGTTTTGCCTGAATCGAGATTATGGCACCTAATAAGCAATTAATGCAACTTGTTCAAGATCGACTTAATGATGCCAACATACTTGAGGTAGAGAGCTTTTTGGATTATACTTTTACAAGATTGAGAGAAACACAAAAATACGTTGTTCATGCGTCGTGCTGCTCGGCGAAGCAGTCCGAATGCTGCACCCTAGATAGCGAAAGTCCAGTAGTCGAAAGCATCACTAGCTTATGCTCTGACCCAAAGAAACTTGTCTAAAATTACCTATAGGTGGCAGGGGTCGGGTTATTGATGTGAGGTGGATCCAGAAAAGGGGTGGTTCTAGTTATAATCCCGAAATGATTCGTGTATATATTTTACAGAAATGTGAAATCAAAGTAGGCGATAAAGTAGCTGGAAGACACGAAAATAAAGGTATCATTTCCAAAATTTTGCCTAGACAAGATATACCTTATTTACAAGATTATATTTGTTGATATGGTCTTTAACCCATTAGGAGTACCTTCACGAATGAATGTAGGACAGATATTTGAATATTCATTGTCAAATGTTGTAATGCATCTTCAGGAGTTCGTGAGATAGTTAAGTCACATTTAATAGTATATGAAGTAATTCAAAGTTATATTTTTTGGTATCACCAGCAAGAGAGGTTAAATGAGCCACAGTTAGACTTTGAATTTGTAGATGTCAATAACATTGAATATGATGATGATGAGGATGAAACATATGTGATTTTAAGAGATTTATATACCTCGTTTTTGATGGAGATTGGAGACAATATGAATATTGGTGGTAGTGATTTTGTTGAAGAGGAACCAAATCTTGATGCTTAAACGATTTTACGGGCTCTTAAAGATTTTGAGCAACCATTATACGAAAGTTCAAAAGCTTCTAAATTTTCTACTTTGGTTAAATTGTTTCATATTAAAAGTATTGGCCATTAGGAATAATGAGACATTTATAATATTATTGAAGATGTTGAAGGAAGACTTATTGCCTGATGGATCAAATTAGTTATATCTATTTTACGAAGCAAAAAAAAAATAATTCGGGATCTTGGGCTTTCTTACAAGAAAATTGATGTGTGTAAGATTAATTACATGTTATATTAGAAGGTTGATGAGTTTCTTGAATCTTGCAAAAGTTTTTGTGCAAGTTGTGGCGCATCTAGATGGAAGGATATAGACATAATGGAGAAAAAAATTTGAAATGGAAAAAGAAGTATCATACAATATGTTACACTATTTTTTTCTAAAGCCAAGACTTCAAAGATGGCTTATGTCCTTAAAGACTTTTTCATATAAGACGGCATCATGTCAAAAAAGCAGCACCCAGCTAATTCAGTAGCATAGAAAAAAACTTGATGAACTTTATCAATCTTTTGCATTGAGCCTCATAATATTTAACTTGGACTTGCTAGTGATGGTTGAAAGTACAAGGAGGGGGGAGAATGAATTGATGATTTTTCTTTTTGTATCCTAAGTAGTTGACTAGTTACCAATTAGTCGACTGAAAATAAAAGATAGAATATAACTGGAAGCATAAGTAAAGTGCAGGAATTAAAGACACCTAGATTTTATATTGGTTCGGATTCAATGTGAATCCTACTTCAGTCTCCTTGGGTTGCAAGGATGTTCTCTTTTACAAGCTCCTTGAATAGTTTCATACAATTTTGTTAATGTTATCTTCGAACACCAACTCACTTTTGAATCTAAGTACGCTTATGATACAATGCATCACCAATGTTTTTCTCTCTTTCTTCTCTCTACTGATTACATAGTACACTTTGCTAAGACTACAATACTTGTTTAGAGTAGAACAAAGAGTACGAAGTTAGTATGATCAAAGTATATCGTTCTTCCTTGATAATCTGCATTATATACTTGAACTTGGCTTGACGTATCTTTGGCAGACTGTTGAGAGATTTGCGATCGCAAGGGAATTGATCCTTGAAGTTGATCTCTTATTATTCATTCCAAGAATAAGTGCGGAGCTTCCACATATGGTCCATGATTGCCGGTATTTTCCTTCTTGTAAGAAGATTCCCTATAATTGATCCTTAAGTTGTTCCTTGATCCATGAAATTGATAGCCTTCCTTTTCGACACATATCTTCACCACTCAGAGTAGGCGCAATTTTAGTCCAGGTCTCCGTAAATCTTGCTTCTCCCTTCTTTATACCCATTATCCTAGTTGTCATATCGTTTTAATCTTGGGCCTTCCTTTCTTGATTCTATTGACATACCTTTTTTCTTTGTTCTTTTACTCCTTCCTTTCTTGTCTTCATCCGTTCATCATTAATAGATTTGCCTGCATCCTTCTTTACATCTCAAGTGATCCTGCAAAAAATAATATGTTATTATTCATCATTGAAATCTAAATCTAACAATCTCCCTCTTTTTTATGATAACAAAATAACATATATAAAGCAGTTTACTTCCCTGTTTAGCCGACTCTATTCATGTTGTAGTTGACTCCTCCGCAACAAAATAGTACTTACTGAATATTTATAGTCGACTCTTGCTCAAGGCAGTCATAAAAAAAATGCTACTTCTTGTTTACTTGTTTATAAACTCATTTCTCCCCCTTTTGGCGTCAACAAAAAGGATTACAACATTATGCAAATAAGGAACAGAAAAAACTGCATACAGAAATATTGCAAGCAAACTACGCAAACATAAATGCAGTGATAGGCATGAAGAGATAGTGAGTGTTCAACAAAAATCCAATGACTAGTGAGCCAGTCCAAAACAGTAAATAAATTGTCTTTAACATCCACTCATTCACAACTAACAACACTGAAAATAAGTGAGAGTATTGCAAATAGCCTCCTTCATATGGTCAAAGATGGCATTCATTGAACCAGATACCCTATCGATCCTGTCATGCACTTCCTTAAAAGCTTTGACTTCATTCTCTGCTAACTTGAGAAACTTGACCATTATCTTGATACATCCGACCTTGTCTCCTTGGAGATGTCATGAATATTCCCATTTGTTGATAGAGTTGAGGCAAGAAGGTCCTTGATGATGGTTAGCTTGTTCTCAATATCAGTCAGTTTCTCTACAAGTTTAGGATCACTCACACCAAAATAAGAACCAAATGCTTTGGCTTTCGATTCAGTCGGAACAAGCTTAATATCTCCCTCCTGCTTTTTCGCCCAGGTACCCTTAGCACAAACATACACCATACTGGTAAAGGTTCTAGAGTTGTAAGACTTGGTGATAGAGACAAAGGAGCAATTTGAAATAGAGACGTTATGGGCTTCTAGGAGATGAGTGATAACCATACCATAAGGAAGACTAATGGGGTCATCAGCACTTTCAATTATAAAATTTATGACCCAAGAAGACAGCTTGATTTTAAGCTTGATCATTAGACAACAAATAAGAAAAGTATCTCGTTGAGAGAAACTGGAGAATGAACTAGTGCGAGGGAGAAGGGTTGTAGCTACAATGTGTGCGAGGACCCGAGTTTCAAAATTAACATCACTAGGGCCTAACTAGTTAGGAAGTGAATCAGAGGGAGACTCGACTATGCAACGCTTTGCTTGGTCAAAGGTAATTTCAAAATCTTCAAGCCATGTATTTTTGAAAAGTATTGGAAAACTAGAACACTTACACTGAAAAATTGAGTCAAATAGGCACAATCTAGAACAATGCGCTTCCCTAGAATTAAAGATTCTAACTTATCAGGCTTGTTAAAACGGAGATTAGCATAAAACATCCTAACTAGGGATTCATAGACTTTAGGAGGTGGTAGAGAGAGGAAGTTTGACCAAACTTGGAATTCGAAAAGCTCTTTTACCTTACAGTTGAGGGCTTCCATATCATTCAAATTGATCACTCAACCATGGGCAATAGACTTCTCTTTAAGGATAATGAATAAGCCTCTATTTTGGAGTATTCCAGAAATTGATGTCTGACTCTAGAGAGCTTGAGAGGTCTATTTTGGATTTCTCAGGGGTGAACGATTCAGAAGGTTCTTCCATGGGTCATTTTCCAAGGGCTTTTTCGTTCATACGGTGAGTGTTGTCAGAAAGCTCTGCCTGAGAAGAAGCAAAACCTTCAGAATGATCGGAACTAAATCTACTGGTTCTAGGAGCTGAGAAGGGGTTGTCGCGACCCAAAATCTACTATAGGTCGTGATGGCACCCAACGTTGTCGTTAGGCAAGCTAACACTTAATTATTCATTTTATTATTTTTAAAATTAGGAATCTTATTTAGATAGAGAGATCAATGCATTAAAATATACGCGTACCTAATAAGTATATAGCCTAACCCTGGATGAGTATGAAAGTATAAAGGGGTGAATTGTAGCCTTTTGAAATTTCTAGTCGACTACTCTTCAGACCTAATCGACTAATGCAGAGACAACCTGCACCAAAACTGTTAGCACTTCAATTTAAACAAGTACTACTCTCAACAAACAGTAAAGGTGTATAATAATATATGAGAGCAATAAAATAAATAACACCAGGAATTTTATATTGGTTCGGAACCAATGTGGTATCCTAATCCAGTCTCCTTGGGTTGCAAGGATGTTATCTCTTGAGCTCTTTGTAATTTGGGTTAAGTACAACTTGTGTAATTTTCAATGTTCACCACCAACGTTTACAGGGTTGGTTTTTACTCGCTCACCAATAACGAACAAGGGTTGGTTTTAACACGCTCACCAACAATGCAAGAGATTGGTTTTCACTCGCTCACCAACAACGACCCTTTAGTTTTCACTCACTCACCAAATAAATGAACAACGGTACAACCTCTCAAGACACACTGCCTCTCCAATA